GGAGGAAGTCTAGAACCTGGGTTCCGCCGAAACTGCTACCGACAAGTTGATACGCTTCATCGATGAAGATGGCGCCACCTCCATCTTTCAAGAGAGCCTCGATGGTCTTTTGACATCCTGAAACACCATCATTCGCGAGCCTGGACCCGGTTGTCTCGATGAATTTGTCGCCGGGGATGATCCCCATGGACGATAGGAACTTTGCATATAGACGGGCAACAGTAGTTTTTCCGGTACCAGGATTCCCGAGCAATACAGATCCAAATCGATCGTGGTTCAAATCGATATTCTGTCTGATAGAAACGTCCACTTTCGCTTTGATAGACAAGAACTTCATTTTCACTGATTCAAGTCCGATCATGTCAACTAACTCGTCGATTTCCTGGCTTTGAGCATTGAGGAACTTCTTTTGATATTCCCAGTCCCCTTTAGCCGCTGATGTCTTTTTAAGTGGCATTACTTGTCGACTTGTAGGCTGAACACTAGGGCTTCGCGTGACTGTAACGCTGGAATTTGAGCTTGTTTCTGTGATGGGTGAGGGTGTGCCTGCGATTGTCTCGGAGCTCAATCTCCGCTGAGGAGATGCTGGTGGCGAGGGTAGTTGCTGGGGATTCCTCAAATCTTCAATTTCCTGGCGATGTTGTTCAAGAACTCTCGCTCGCTCCGCGTCATCGATTTCATCACGTCGAATACGTTTGAGATAGGAGGCTTCCTCCTGAGCTTCTGCAATCTGTCGGGCGTACTCATCCTGCTTTCTCTGTCGTTTTTGCTCCAATTCTAGATCGCGTTTACGCCGGCGCTCTTTGGCTTGATCTTCTCGGATGCAGAAACGACACGAGCGCTTGGCTTGGGAGCAGGGCAGAGATAAGTCATGGCCCCGGGGACACCTCCATTTCACGATCTTGGTACACTTCATTTTCGAATGGTCCGCAAGTTGGTGACATTTTGACGGGCACTCGTGTACTCCACAACTCAGTTTCACGCCGCTGTTAGGAAAGTCAATATCAAATTATCAGCAAAGCCTCTGGTAAACTTACCAAGGGGCAGAGCATCCTCCGTCTGGGCATTCTCTATCAAAGTCCTCAACTGTTCGGAGAACGGCAGTTGTCTGGGGATGTTGCTCGCATTGAACAGGCAGCCCATCGTATAGATGTCCCTCTGACTTCAACTGGTCAATGAATGGCTTCCAGTGCCTTTGGCCCTTTCGACTAGAGACAAATGTTTCAGAGTTTCCCACCAGAATGAGGACATTTCGCGCGCGGGAAAGAAGGACGTTGAGGCGCTCTGGGGCTGCCATAAATCCTATGTCGCCAGTTTTGTTACTACGAGTGAGCGAAGCAATAACAATTTCACTCTCTTCTCCTTGGAAGTTATCTATTTTCTCAGGTCAGACAGACTCTTGTTTGTGCTTGTGATTTTCTTTCTACTTACCAATTGTGGACAGCTTGATTTGGCGCTTAGAGTGGGAGGCCGCAGCCTGCGACAGAAGGCCTGCTTTGACAAGATCATAGCAATCGATGTCATTTAGTACTGGATCGTTCTGTTTGCTCAGAGTCTGCCTCAGTAGACTGAGCTGGCCCAAGTATGGAGTCAACACAACCAACTTGTCTGTTCCATACCCCTGTTGCCCGAGGTACTTCACGATCTTAAGTACAATATCTGCCTCGAACGAATTTCTCTTGCTTCCAGTCGAGTTCTCATCACGTTGGTCAGAGACCTCGACAAAAATGTCTTCAGGATTTTCATGATGGAAAAATATGATTCTGTCGCACAGCCCTCGTGGCTGAGGGCGATTCTTGGTCTTCTCGTCATCTTCCAGCGCTGGATAGGTGAGACTGCGTACAAGACCTGAGATCTCAGGACACATCCTATGTTGTTTGCTCAATGTCGTATGTGGAAATCCAGCATGTATGAGTCTTTCAAAAAGGGAGACGTTCAGGTCATAACCATCTCCTTTCTCGGTGCTCAAGCTGTAACTGTTGATCTTTGGCCGTAGCTGTTGATGATCTCCTATCAAGATCAAATGCTTGGTCTCTGGTGTCATCGCTGTAAGCACATGGGACTCGAGAATCTCACCCGCTTCTTCAAGAAGCACAATGCCAGGTGAAGCATGCCGGATATCCTCAGAGTACATTGCTGCAGCTGTAGTGGTGCAGCCAATGATTCGCTTTGATTTCAAAATTTCCCGGTTTTTCGCACCCAGGGTAGCGCTAAGTCGGTTTTGGCATTTGTCGAACAATCCTATCCTGACGCCCAAAGACTCGGCCTGTTCACTCAGCAGAGCTCTCCTCCAAGACTCATCTTTCTCTTCGCGTATTTTCTTGTCTAGTTTCCAGATATCGCGACATTGAGTGGGAAGAAGATTAGCATACACTCCTGCGTCTTCGTTTTTTTTCCATCGTGCATAAAGGTAGTCTCTGGATGGTCTTCCACGCCGGGTGACCATAATCATGCCGTTTTCGTCCTCTGGTACAGTCAGAGCTGCAAAGTACTCCGGTTCTTCAAACTCCAGATAGTCCAAGATAGACACATCATTGGCTGTGAGATTTTTGTAAGCTTGGAAAGAATCATTCAAAGTGTGCTTTTGGTCATTTCCGTCCGATTCGAGCGCATTGATGGTGTTCCAGGTGGCTTGGTCCCTCCTGTAGGACGAGTGCTGTTTGAACAATCCCAACGGCTCAGTGCGCTGTGATGACTTAGACCCGAGTCTTACGATGTCGGAGGGATCGATTCCAATGTCCAGCAAGTCTTCCAAGAACTGGTCCAAGGCATGATTCGTGTAGCACATAATCAAGATCTTGTCGATGGTATTATCATGCATGGCCTTTGCGAGAAGGGCACCTATGAATGACTTGCCAGTACCTGAAGCTCATACTGTCAGTCTAATGTCGTTGATAATGAACACGAGGGTGTAGTAGAGAACTTGTGTGATCTTACCTGGTGGTCCTTGAATAAGACTCACTCTCTGTGTTAGCCCAGCCAACATAGAATCTAGCTGTGAAGAATCCAGTGTCACTGGCATTGAAGTTTGAAAGATGCCCTGGATATTACATCCATCTTCTTCCTTCAGCTCATTGACCACATTCCAAGGAGCTAGACTTGATTCTTTCACTGGCTGGTCCCTTTCGTAAAGGAACAATTCTTCTGTAAGAGGCAGATCGATCCTCTCTTGCAAGCATTTCAAGATTGGCTCGTACGCAAACATTGCCGTTTCAACAATCAGAAACTCCACGTCTTGGTAGAGCTTTAGGTAAAGCAGAGACTTTTTGAGCGCCTCTTCGCCTGCGATACGCAGCATGACCACCGGAGGATTGGATACCAGTTCGTCGATTTCTCTTTCGATTGTAGCAAAAGCCACGATTTCTGTGCCTCTAACCAGGCATCCAAGTGCACGATGCTTAACAAATTGAGGTGTGGTCTTTAGAAAATCTCTACGATGCTTTTCCGAAAGATTATCGAGCTTTTCCAAGCCAACCTTAGCAGTAACACCAATGGTACATGGTCGAAGGCGGTTTTGGGGCCCAGAAGTGCAGCGGACCTGATCAAGAAAGAGATTTCTCAAGTGGAATGCCGACCGACGCCCCTTCTTTGTGCCTCTTGCAATTTGAAAGTCATCGCGAAGCTCCGAGAGCATATCCTCCCGTAAAAGGCGAAACTGGTTGTCAATGTGGCCCGCAATGCGTTGACCGCTGGGTAGCTGCGCGATGTCTTCAGCGCGGCGATAAAACGGTTTCTCCGTACATCCCAACTCATCGGCAGTAGGAAAAATGGCCGTCAAGCGGAAATCAGCAAAATCATTATCATGCCGACCACCCGCGGTGATCTCAGAGTGCTGGAGGGTGGCTGCGGGTGATTTCATTTCTAGGCGATACTTGATCTTGTGGCCTGCATTTCGTATATCGACCGAGGGCGAAGAGAAAAGTGACCCATCGTCCAAAACAATCTGGGCATCAGCTCTAATGTCCACACCGCAAGAGGAAGGCAATGAAAGCAACTCCGTCATCAACCAGCATAGAGCCTGGATTGCATGCTCTGCTAGTTTCCGAGTGCGGAAGGCCTCCAGAAATGCACCCCAGAGTGTACGAGGCTCCAAAAGGATCAAAAGAAGTTGTTCGAGAAATTGGCCATTGCAGAGGAGCTTGACTTCGCGGTGGTTCAAGTATTGAATTAACTTCGCGGTGTATCCGTTGATGAAGACCGGCGTGAGGTTGAACCTCAGCCCGTTTTGCAAGGCATTTAGAGCGCTTTTGCTCGAAATGATTCGCTGAACAACAATGCTAGGATCATTTTGGTCCAGAACTGCTTCAATAAATCGCTTAAAATCGTTCTGATCCTGGACTTCTTGCTTTCCATTGAGGACGGCTCCAAAATACTTGGCCAGTCGCTCCGATCGAATTTTTGTAGACATGACAGGAAATGAGGTTCAAAAGACACTAGACATAAGATATACTTGGATGATCAAAATTGGCGGAGAAAAAAAAATTGGGGATGTAGAAGGGCCTTAAGAGTTGAGATGTAGATAAGAAACAGTTTGGAATCCGCCTCGTTGACATTTGGGCAGGGTACTGTCACACTAAATATGCAGACTACTAGGGCTATCTGCCTTGTTGGTTTGTATCTTTACGATCCAGTTGGCTGCCTACATACATAGGTACCTAGGGAACTGCAGGAAAACCAACCAATGCAAAAATGCGCAGGAGTTCACGGGAATAGGCCATATGTGACGTGGCGACAGGGATCTATACCACAGCGCCAGGCCCCGGCGACATAGCGCGCGTAGAGGGCAAACGAAAAATTAATAATGCGTACTTGAGTCCACTCCATTTGTAATTTGTAATTATTCCTCTGCATTTGCATACATACCTTTACTGCATTGCGTGACAACTTGCCTTGGTACTACTTCCTGACCCCTAGACTAGTCTACAACTATGTCTTCGCGGGGAAGAGGAAGAGGACGGGGACGATGGGGAGGAAGAGGAAGAGGAAGAGGTAGAGCATACATGCAAATCAATTCATCCGCGCCCCCGCTGGGAGTGATCCTTGTGACAATCCAGCATGATGAGATCGAAAGCCTTGAACATCAAGGTAGTGATGTCTCTCGAATCACAAACAGCCAATACCTGACATCCTACAATTGGCTTGGCGGGGACAAAAGCAGAATCATTGTTCCAGGTAAGCTGATAGCAAGGCACTGTTCACCACATACATGATAACTGACACTTATACACTAGGTGAACCACCAATATGGACGCCTCTGGCTAATCCGCGCACACTTCCGCAAGACAATGGGACATATTATCGTGATCGAAATGCCGCACAATATCCCACTTACCCTCTCGAGCCAATGGTACAAGCAATCCTGACTGACAAACCTGAGTTCCCTGTGACCGACGTGGACATCATTGGGTGCAACAATACCCTGGGCCACCTGCTACGTTTTGTACGTGGTGTGGGTGATCCCTTTAGGATTCTTGTTCAGGTACTTGGCAATACCGTCTTCTTCATCAGAAGAGAAAACTCGCCCACCGAAACGATCCCCGGTATCCGTGGATATGGCCATACTTTCCCGGAAGCTTACACCACGTGGAATGAAAATGTGGGCGGATCTAAGTCCCATCAACGGGTGGTGAAGTACACGTTTGCCGACATGCAGTGCTTGGTCCGTTTTGAACCAGATGGCTTCTTGCCTGGCCTGGTTACGGATACCGAGGAAACCGAAGATCCCCAGGGGAAAAGTATCAGCGCAGAGGAAGGTTTGCCGTCCATCGAAGACATAACACTTTCGGATGATCCCTCGTCCACTACAGAAACGGCACCTCAGCAGCTTGAGATTGCAATGCAAGGCCGGCGTATCCCACAGTGTGCAGTCTTTGACCTGAAGACACGATCTCACTCTAAGAGGAATACCAATGTTCTCAAGGAAGAATTGCCCCGGTTGTGGCTTACGCAGACCCCCAACTTCATTCTCGCCCACCATACAGATGGTCAGTTCAAGCATATTCAGGTTCACGACGCGCGGGATGATGTAAAGCAGTGGGAGGAGACCGAGCAACTGAGTTTGCGCAAGTTTGCCAGCCTACTCCAAATGGTTGTGTCATTCGTTCGAAGCCTGGAGAATGGAAGACTTGAGATCGAGCGTGAGGAGAATGCGCAGGTTTTAAATCTGAGAGCACAAGGTGGATTTGTCAATAACGTCTTGTCCCCGGCTGTCGCAAGCAGGTGGGATATGTAAGCCGGCGCCCATGAGGACAGTGGCTTCAACTACCATTCTTGATTCGAAGATTGATCAATTGATCAATTGAATACAAATCCAATGCTTTTCACTTAATTATCACAACCGGTTCTAAGTAGAGATATCAGTCTGGCCGGATATAGTCCTTACGTATGGCATCAAATATGGCCCTAGAAAGCAGGTCCATCACAAATTGCCTATGCATGGTACTATTGATATAATGTAGACCTTTTGCTAGATTTGAAGGTTCGTTAGCATGCCCAGAGTACTCCGTAGTACAGTGATATATGTAGTAATGGCTGATGGGTCTTGATTTTGGGCTAGTGAGGAGTTAGTGTGATAAATTATACTAGCGAGTTGGGATTGACATCGTTATTTCAATCACCAAAATTCACCCCTCAGCAAGAGAGATGTTGTCTTTGTTCTGGAGATCCGATGCGATAAGACACTATTCTGCCACCTCTGACCGCCCGCTCGACCCTCGCCATCGAGCTCCGAAACCACTGGCCAGTCCTGCTGCCTCAGTTTCTCTTTTATCTGCGTCACCAAGGCTCTATTTCCGACATCCAACCTGAGACCACAGCATTGCAAATCAGGACAGCACTTGCCAGCCAGGAACCCCGCCTCCTGAACGAAACCGACCCCGAAAGGGAATTTTCCTCTTTCGCGCGACGACAGCAAGGTACTTGCTGCAGAAACCGGCAAGATGCCCAAATATAAGTCCCTCCAGTCCATATCTTTACAACCGAAAGCTAACACCCCATGCACTCTTCTGTAGGTTTTGGCTCAAATCCAGGTCTAGGCAGACCAAGCGGTGTCATAGCCTATTCCGGGCATAATGCGACACGCCCGACTATGGCCGCTAAGCCCACATCCATCGACCAATTGCTAACCCCTGACTTCAACTTATAGGCGACTACTGTGATGTCTATCTGACGCACGACTCGATGAGCGTGCGCAAGGCGCATAACTCCGGCCGAAACCACCTGAGGAACGTGGTGGACTACTACCAACGTACGTCTGACTGATGGCGCAGCAAGGCAGCCAACCCCAACAGCTGAATGCCAGCTAACCATATGAACCTGTTACAGAGATTGGCCAAGAAAAAGCCCAGTCCGTTATCGACTCCATCACCTCCTCCTACGCCGCAGAGGGCCAACAAGCCCCCAACATGATGGCCCCCGGCGCGTTCCCGCCTCCCTTCGGATTCCCAGGTACGACTGTCCCTCCCACGCTCTCCTAAAATCCAATCCAGAACCAAAACTAACACAATCAGGACAACTAGGCATGCCTCCTCCCCCCTTCGGTATCCCTCCACCTGGCGCCCCCGGTGCCCCAGGCATGCTACCTCGTATGTCCTACCCACTCCCAATCCCACCCTACGTCTCTAGGAAGAGAAAACGATCTCCAACCTACCCAGGACCAACCCAAGCTAATCAATACCCCTACCAAACAGCCCCAGGAGCCCACGGCCTTCCCTTCCCACCTTTCCCTAACGCTACCGGAACCCCACCAACAGGTGGCTTCCCCCCGCCCCTCCCCAACATGCCCCAGGGCGCAAACCTGCCGATTCCGCCCCCAGGAGGCTTCCCTAACTTCCCCATTCCTCCGCCCGGAGCTGCGGGTTTCCCGCCTATGCCTGGTCAGCCCGGTATGGGCCCTGGCGGTCCGCAGATTCCCACTGGCCCTCGTGGCTTGGAGGGGTATCCTCCCCCCCTGGAGGTGGGCCTCCCGGTGGGATGGATCAGCGGTGGTGATTATGATCGCGATCTTGGGGTTAGTTCGTAAGTGGTTTGTTTCTGATACCTTATTTTTTTCTGTGTGTGCCATGGGCATGGCATGGCATTTTTCATGGTTCTTTTTGCTCTTTACTGTTAGTGTAAAATAGCGGTTTCTTTTTTTTTATATTTCTTTACTTTTCGTACGTTATCTTTCGTACAAGATGGTCTCGTTAGGTTCTAGTTATTTTCGACAGGCATGGATATTGTCGGTTCATGGAATTGAATTCTTTACGAGAGATCCGATGGCCTAGATTGCACAAAACTTCGACATCCACATATATATGTAGACAACGTTTTATATTTAAATCAAAAGGCTCTTCCAAAAAGTGTGCTATTTTACGGCCTTCGTATATACCTAAGAAGACATCTGAAAAGACACCTGAAAGGAACATCCAAAATACTGGTGTGTGAAATGGGAAATTGAAAATATATATTTCATTGGCGGCAGACATACTGCAAAGCCAATAGAAAAAAAAGAACAGAGAAACCCTCAAGGCCGATCACCATATCCAGAATGCATCAAAGAACGCCGAGCGGAAGAAAAAAAAACCAAGGGAAATATACCTCAAGGATTTAGACCGGGGAGAGAAATAGAGGAAAGAATTGAAGGGAAGAAGTAAAGGGAAAGGGAGGGATAGATGAGAAAAGCCCACACCATTAAGCAATGGAGTGAATTAAGAAAAGAAGTTTATCTGAAGCGATGCCCCTGCAGCTTGTGCAGAAGCAAAAAAAAGAGAAAAGAAACCCGAACCCAGAGGAATGGCGATTATAGACCATCTGTATCCCGCGCTAAAACAAAATCACATATCTTCATCTCGGAAGCGACAAAACAAGAAACCACTGGCAATTTTTTTTTAATGGTCATAGCCAGCGCCCCTTTGCCAAGGACTGGCGTTGTTCTGGGCTCGATATGTTGTCGACAGAGCAGATTGGCCAACAGGAGAGGTGTTATCATAGCCCCTTCCGGCGGGTGAAGGGGACCGACCGAAATTGTCGTATCCGGGGGGAGGATTGTGGTGACCAGACGTGCCACTGGGGAACAGTGGCACAGATGGGTCAACAGGTGACCGAGGCGCTTGGGCAGCAGAGCCGTGCGGCGGGTAGGTTGATTGCGGTGGGTAGGTTGACTCCATTTGACGGCCGACGCTAGCACCGTTTCCACTGGAGATAGAAGCGCTATCATCGTCAAATGGGTTGTGGTTGTTGTTATATTGCCCGGGCTTCATATCACCACGCGCTGTAGCACCCAAGGCATCCAATTCAGTAGTAAGCTGGGTTTGGTCCTTGATGAATGAACCACGATCGTCGCGCATTGGCTGGTAGCGAGTATCGGGGTTCTTAGACACAACGGCATAAACCGAGGCGATCAGAACCAGGATCAAAAGGACCAAAGAGAACACGGCATTGTAAACGAAGAAGACGACACCCATGACACCGATCATCATTCCGGGAGGGTCGAAGACATCTGAGAAAACGAGGAGGAAGATGGAGTTGAGGAAATTGATAACAGCAATAGAGATGTTGAAAACATTAGTCTTCTTATCCATCCACGGACGGAGAACGCAGACAGCAACCAGCATGGCTAGCTCAAGGATAACTAAAGCCACTGTCTGAACGACCGGTGCAGGTTGACTCAGACCGATGAACATACCCTTGATCAAGGTGTAGATGAGGAACGGAATGACGAAGTAGTATGCGGTTGCCCGGTACTGCACATACAAAAAGCCCCACTTGTTCAGACAGGTAGGGTCGGAGTAAAGAATGTATGCTGGGTTCTTGTGCATGGTCACGGAACGCTTTGCCAGCCGAACAACCTTCTGAGAGGCCCATCCAAGAGAGACGAGCATGGAAAGGAGCATAACCGCTGCCAAAACCACCTCGGCAGGCGAGTCACGCTGAGTGAACTCCCAGAGGCAAAGAACAGACATTTGGGGCAAACCGATGAGAGTCAGTCGGAACAAGATACCACGCAGAACGATCTTCCATCCATGGCGGAAGTCCTGGAACCGTTCACTCTTCATTTTGCCATTCTTGACAAGTAGCTCAGTAATTCCCTTGAAGGCTGCAACGATGATGACAACAATGCAGGTGAAGACCGCAAAGAAAATTAGGCCAGTGAGGAAAATGTTAGTCTCCTCCATGCCCGCACGGAATCCAACACGATCAATTCCTCGAATGACAAGGAGTTTCTGGCTTGTGTCGGCTCTCTTGGCCAAACCCGTGGCTCTCCTCAAGAGGTTCATTGCTGGGTCAGCGAAGTCACGCTTGCGGCGCCTGAGAACCTCCACAGAAGTATCCCCAAGCTGTGACAGGACTGTGGATGGAGTTCCACCGGTTGACCGCTGATACCAGGTGGCGATCGTCTGGATGAATCCAACGGGGATGATACCCATGCTCCACTGGAAGTTCTGGGTCCAGGACTCCACGATCGGGGGCATATGAACCGAGGTCATGCCGATAATTGCTTGTGACTGCATGAAACCGAAAAGAGAGAGTGCATTTGCCGCGACGTGAGCCGCGGTGTTAGAATGGCCGAGCCCGGAGGTAATGGCGGATGCAGCGAGACCTAGTCCGGAGATAACAGCGGTTGTCCAAGAGACTCCGGCTTGATTAACGGTCTTGCCGTTAGAAAGCGAGGCCTCGACACAACCAATCTTTTCTTTGGTGCTGGCTGTCTTGATAACAATCCGCACATTCGCGTCAAGATCAGGCACTGTGTAGGCAATACCAGGAATTTTATCTGAAGTGCCTGCTGGCAGGTCGAGAGAAAGTGGTCCCAAATCCAAGGGTCCAGAGGCCATGGGACACATACCCATGCCAGTAATCGAACAAGGATCAAGGGTGCTCTTGTATGCCTCGTAGCCATACGCAGTAAGGGTTACCTCCGCAACAACCTTACCCTCGATGTATGAGACGCCATCGAGGCCGACGACAAGAGAATTGTTTCCCGGATAAAAGACAACGTTGAAATATGTTGCCGTGAAGTTGCTACTTTCCATGCACACGCTGAGTGCATTGGATTCAAGGAGCTGAATGGCGGAGGCTAGCGGCGCCAGAAAGGCGACGAAGCAGGTGAGAAGCGATATGAACCGCATTTTGGTGTATATTCGATGTAAGGAAGAGGTTGCGAAATACTAGAAGAGGTTCCCAGTGGTAGATCGGGGCGAGGGGAAGAGATCTGACGGCTCCCGTGTCAGTGGCACTCCAGAGTACCACGTTGCCAGCCGCCGGATGCGGAAGTTTTTGTACGGCCGAATCGTGTTTGATGGCCGTGGGGCCGAGTTATTTCTGAATGTCTCCTCGGGCTGTTACTGTATGTTTGGCGCAAATTGTCGCAGGAAAGCCAGGGTCGAGTCAAGGTGTGTTTTGCCTTTGGGGCATTTGAATATAGGCGGAGCGTAGAAGTAGTCGTAAAGGGGGTTTAATGGAATCGGAGGAAACTGTATTTGTAGATGAATGAGAGTATGTCCGAGCCTGAATGAGAGTAAGATCGAGTAAAGCGAAAAGGCGAAAAAGCGAAATGTCGAGAGTGAGTGGACTGGCGATACACAGTATGGCCGAAAAAGGAGTAAAGGAGTAATAGGCTTGAAATGGGGGACGAAAGTGGTTTAAAGTAGACACAAACTGTTCCCTTGAAGAGAAGAAGAAAAAAAAAGAGAGACGAGGGAATGAGCGTGAGAGGAAGAGTGTCCACGGGTTGTTCACTCAGGGACAGTCGACAAGGGTGGGAAAAGACATTGCCTGGACTGACCGTCGCCATTCCACTGGCAAGGTATGTGGTTCTGTATTGTAAGAGCACAGGGGCGCCTAACTTTAAACCAATCAAAATACTGTATTGGGGCGTATTGATGTTTGGGTTTGTTCCGTATGGTCACCCATTGGCACCTTCCCCCTTCAACAATTACAGAATGCCATCTCCAAGGCAAACCTATATAATGTTTCACTTCCCTTCCTTCCCTTTGTTCGTTTCATTCTATTCATTCTACCTACTCGATTCTCTTTTGATTGACCAAAGAGCATTTGAAAAACGACTTTCTCTTCTCGTATACGCGTACTCACACTGCCCAAAGCGGTTGATGGATCGTGGCGGAATCAGGCGGGTCCATAGTCCTTTTATTATTAGAGACGAAGTCGAATATGCCAATATTAAGTCCACGGGTATTACATACGCTGAACCAAAGGAACTGTTGCCCCCAGCTGTGGAGTGTGCCGAATACAGTGGACCGTTACGTATGGTAACTTTGAACATCAACTTAATACATACACGATGTATGTACATATGTGCTCCGTATGGGGTACATCACATCCTATTATTCCGTCTGCCGTTAATAATTAATCAAACTGAGATTCCAGACTTTTTAGGTCCACACTTATAAGTCGTTGCCTACTATGGAGTATGCACGCTCCATTGTAGTGAATTTTCCTCGGGCGGGGCCCCACCTTAGCTGCCGCTTTTATGAGGGCGCTTCTGAATAATTACATAGTTATGTAGCCTCTGGGTAAATATCAGCCCATGTCTGTACCTAGGTACAAGCATTTAATCTAGGATATCAGCAGACAATATGTTTTGGCATAACTCTCTAGCGCTTGTAGTACTACTAAAGCTATGAGGGCACGGTGTTCAATGTATGCTATTGTGATTTAGTTGCATGGGCCTTGATATCATATCGAAGAGGGAGGTGGACGATGTCTACGGAGTAATAATGATGATTCAATGATCGAACGTGGTCTTTCCTACGACATATAAAAGGACTATCAAAAAAGACGTCATAAGGCCGCACAGCGGCCGAATATTCTTGGGCATGGCCTTTCCTGAGATCTGGCGTAGTTTGAAGGTAAGTCAGCTTTCTGTTCCTCAATAAGAGTTGATAGAACAGTGACCATCTAGCTTGACATTCTACTAGTAGTGCCAGGTGCGCGCCCAATTTTACTATAAGAAGCACTAGAGAAAGAAATCTGGAGGTATGCCTTGCAGATTGGAACAGTAAACCGAGAATAAGTATAAAATTGCAAACAGAGTGATATATTATTAGCACTCCGTATACCTTGGATAAACCAATTACAGCGAAGGCAGAGATTTCTGGCCAATGACATGCAATGATCAAACGGCGAATCAGACAATGTCAGTGGACCCCAAAAAATACCATGCAGCTAGACCACCCGTGGCTTAAACGCCTGACAGTGAAGAAAATACATATTAGTACTGGGTCGTACAACCGAATACGACAGTCCCGACATCTGGAGGTTTCAATATCTCATTTAGCACTACCTAGGTAGCCATGGACTGTATAACAATGTCGTACTACATGGGATCAGAGACCGAGCGGGAAATAAAGACGTCATCACGCGCACATCAAAAATACGTGATCGCTCTGATCATCCCTTTCTGGTGATCAGGGGGTGACAGCAGAACACACTAAGCAAGCTAAACAAATTCATAATAAAAGGGGGAAGGAACATGATTTGACATAGTTATACCAAGCTCACAAATGGTCCATGCAGATGGAGGTTCCTTTATTTCTGAAACATGTCTGATCCGACCAGAGGAAGATGATGGGGGGCCTTTGCCGACCTTGGAAACGAGGCTGTGCAATTCCAAGTATGAACGCTAATGTCGGTAGATTGGAATACCATGTCGATCCTTATATCATGCCTACAACATCTGTAATCTGTTGATGCTATTTTCTTTTATTCGTCTTAAAATGAGTGTACTATGTATGTATTATCACGGGAGGTGTTCTAGATCTATTAGGGAAGAATCGAGTCTAATGATCATCCCGGCTCTAGAATCCTGGGGTAGACTAAGAATAAATTATATCTATACGATGTTACTTTGTACGTCTCGCTAGTATGATATTAGTGCTCGGGAAGGTTTGCCCCCGGATCTAAAACCATCGGAAACATACCTAGCAAGCGAAAGTTATCCGCCAAGCACTTCTTAGCTTTCCGTTTTGGTGTTTTGTTCAATGAGTAAAACTGAGCAGTCTAATTCCTACCTAAACTATTGAACATTACTCACTAAACACCGTGTTGTGGGTTTAAGTTGGTTCATTTAGTGAAAGGGGAGTTATCTTTCACACCGCAATGTCAAGATTAGTCAGTCTTAACAGATCCCAAAGGGGACAATGCTTTTATTTGTTGTATATATTTCATTCTCGATAATCAAATCCTTCCTCCATGGCTCCTAAATTGCTCGATTACTAACTACCATACAATTTATAGTTAACTGCAAACTTAAAGAGGTTGATCGGTTTGGACTAGGTGTTGATCTATTATCACATCAACGGCGCCTGACTATGGTGTACCTTTCGAGCTGGGCAAAACCTGGGATGGAGAGCCATGTATGAGGATAAGCGTGTGGTATCGATACATTATGAAGCTGAGGCAGTATTGCTTATTATAGGAGAGGCTACCCCAGAGCAGATTGTTGAAAATGGCCAAAATAATGAAGTAGCCGATATTTGATTAGATACCCCCCTCCCCTATTGGTGTTATACTAGAATATAGACGTAAAAACGGCTTAATATGTGAAAACGACTTTCCGTGTATAATCTTTGATGATGATACAAAGTGCTCTGTAAGCATATCAAAGACCAACAATACCCCTGGACAAAGACAAAGGAGCCCAGCCCTTGGTACATGACATATATATGCAACAACTGAGGAGTCACTGAAAACATGTCATACATACCACAATATCTCAGCTGCCTAACTTGAGGCCAAGATATCGGCGCTTGCACAGCCTTCTGGTCAACATTCCGTCCTTGTTTCACTAGGTAAAGGAACCCACCAAGCGCGTATCCTACTCGGCATCATTTAGTCCCGGGTGTAAAAAACACCGATACTAATCTCTAAAATATGGTGGCCTTAAACTTGAAACACATGTGGATTTTGTAGTCCTGAAGTCCTACATCCAAGTCATGATTTCGGAATCATAGGAGATGGCCAACCTCGGTCAATATTTCAGCCTTATAGTTAAGGAACCAAATTTAAGGCACCAACTGATGGAGTCTATCAACACGTGATGTGGAGTTCTGCCACATTTCACCGATCAGAAAAAAAAAGTAGCAGAATGATTTCCGCCCGCAGAGATCAATAATCTAGACCTACAAAACACAAGGTCCAGGTGATACGAGACAAACCCCTGATTGCTTTGTTACAGTGTCAATTATTACACTGTCGCAGGACCAATCAACAAAATGCCTGGCCCCGTGGACACCGCAAAGTCCATCAACAAGCGCAAGAGAAAGCACGGCTCAAAAGCAGAGAGCGATGTCGCCAAGCCCGTGGAAGCCAAATCCAGCCCTGCAGTGACCCCGAAAAAGAGCATTGCTTCGACCCCGAAGGCTTCAGCTGAGAAGTCTACCAAGAAGCGCAAGGTCAGCCCTTCACCCAGCGCTGAGGAAGAAAGCGACGACGCCGAGGCCGTTGAGGATGCCGAGGAGGTAGACGCGGAGGAGGGCAGTGATGCTGAAGACACCGAGGCTGCGAATGGTACGGATCTTCCTACTATGGAAGATGTCCGTTTGCCCCAGACCGAGGGCAAGCTGCAGAAGTTCACCGAGCTCAACCTTTCCGAGAAGACCATGCAGGGTATCAACGACATGGGCTTCACAACCATGACTGAAATTCAACAGCGTACCGTTCCTCCTTTGCTTGCTGGACGGGATGTTCTCGGTGCTGCGAAGACCGGTTCCGGAAAGACTTTGGCCTTCCTGCTCCCCGCTATTGAGATGCTGCACGCTCTGCGCTTCAAGCCCAGAAACGGTAAGCTTTTTGCCCCATACCTTTATCCGGTAGTTACTTGCTGGGGCTGGTGTCTAACTTTTCAATACAGGTACTGGTGTTCTCGTCGTTTCCCCCACTCGCGAACTGGCACTGCAGATCTTCGGTGTCGCCCGTGAACTTATGGCCCACCACTCGCAGACATACGGTATCGTTATCGGAGGAGCCAACCGTCGTGCTGAAGCTGAGAAGCTGATGAAGGGTGTCAACCTTCTCATCGCCACACCCGGTCGTTTGCTGGATCACCTCCAGAACACCCAAGGATTCGTCTTCAAGAACCTGAAGACCTTGGTCATTGACGAGGCAGACC